GGCCCCCTCACCTGGTACTGGGCCCCGGGGCGGTGCCGGGCGGGCGATGCGGGTGCCGAGCGGGGGGTCGGTGGTGAGCCGCCTGCTGCCCGCGGCCGGGCTGCGGGGCCCGGGGCGCGCCGTCCGCGCGCTGCTCTCGCTGGGGAAGCCGCCCGGCGGCGGCGGCGGCACTTGGCTGCTGGTCAGCACCGCCCGGCACCGCCCCGGGGCCCAGTACCAGGTGAGGGGGCCGCTCCCGCGGAGGGCCCGCGCGGGTCCTCGGCCGGCCCGCCCTGCCCGGAGGCCCCGCGCCCCGGCTTCCGCTTGCGCCCGGGAAGCGCCGCGCCTTGGCGCCATGGCGGCGGCCACTCCGCGAGGCTTCTGCCCGCCCTTTGCCTCTTGCGAGGAGGCCGCGGCGGAGTCCGCGGCGCTGCTTCTCCTCGCCCCAACAGCCCTGTGAGGTAGTGCAGGCCGAGACGCTCTGGCCTGCCCGTGGCCGAAGGGGGACTGGAACCCGCGCCTCCGGCACTCGGGGCACGGCGCGAGCTGTGCGTGCGTGTGAGTCGGGCCACGTTCAGTCTTGGGCAATCTTGAGGCCTTGGGCTGCGGAAATTAGTTGTCCCAATGAAACAAGCTAAATATGGCAGACGTAAGTCCTATAGTTTTCAGTAGGACTCACTTGATCCTCAGCTAGACTTTCGCCCCACTAACGTGCAGCCTCTTCAAGATATTTCGGAAGGTAGTGAGGTATCTGAAATATATACGGAGGTTTATCTTTGAGATTTGAGTGAGGTGAGGGTGAATTATTTCATTCCACTTAATGGAAGAACTGAAAGTGTCTGTAAAGTCTGTTTCTCGAGCAGTTATGCCTTGGCCAGCTATCAGTGCAGGACTCTTTAAAAACATAGAAACTGAGCAAGTCAGAAGGGGCCTCCCGGGCCACCTAATCTCACCCCCAGCTCCAGCCAGCTCTGCTTATGATATGCTTACCATGTTCATGCCCAGCCTAACCTTGAACCCCTCACCAGTGGGGCTTCAACCACCTCCCGTGAACGCCCATTTGATACCATAGGAGTCCTAACTGTCAGGAAGTACTTCCTAGCTGGAACATTCACATAATAGAAATTGAAGAAGGCATATAGGCAGCTACAGCAGGGAACAATCTACAGAACAACAAACATCCAACATAAAACAAAAACCCAAAAACAAGTGCCACTGCAGTCCGATACAGAATGGTCAAGAGAAGACCACAAGGCATAATGGTAAGCTTTCTGGGCCTTCCTAAAAGCCCTCAGTGATGGCACCTTATTAGCTTCCAAACCTCATGAGCGGAAAGAAAAAATCCTTTGATTGGCTGTACAAAAGCACAAGTATCAAGGTAATTACTAGAGAGTTCTGTGGACACCCGGCACTGTGGTTTGGCCCAGGAGCCGCCTTGCACAACCCGGTGTTGTGCAGATGTGCTGGGCTGCAGTTACCACACTCTCCTGCTTGTTCTGAAGGCTGCAGTAACGACTTCGTGATGCTTCATTCATTAGAAATGAGCTTCTTAGTTTGCTGCTTTACGAAAGGATAAGATTCAAGGATACAATGATAAGCCATGTATTCCCCAGTTTAACCCTGAGGCTTAGAGGCAACTAGACCTCTCCCTTTTTGCAGACTCAGTGTGGGGTCTGTAAAATCCCATTTTTGACTGGGCCTCAGGCAGATGGGGCCTAATTCTGACTTTGCACAAGGGCGCAAGACTTTTTGTTCCCTGAGGCAACAGGCAAGATGCTGTCTCCTTCCCCATTCTGTGGATAGAAACTAACTGGACCAGTAATTGAAACATAAACCATTGATGCCAACAGCAGTGAGAGCTGGGTTGGAGCAGTGGTTCGGGTTGGACTGGAGACCGTGGAGCTTGCTGGGTGATTTCGGGCTAGTCAGCCACTCTCAGCCTATCCTCCCTCACAGAGTAGTTGGGAGGTGAGAACAGAGCTGTGTCAGCTGCCTCGGTCCCTCACCAGAGGAAAGGGACGGGTATAAATGCAGTGAAATAAACTCCGTCAAGGCGCAGCACCATCCCCTGTGCTTCGGCACAGCAGGCGGGTCCACGGGGCGTAGAGCAAGCTGTGTGACACGCCAAAGCTTTTGGCTACTCAGGCCAGCCTAACCGTGTGGGCCCCAAATGCTCCACACCAGTGTTTGTGCTCTTAATGGGATACGGGGTCGGGCAGTTGCTTAAAGTAGGAGGGGTGCCTTGGAACGCCTGGGAAGGACATCTGGGCTATTGCACCATGGGAGGAAGCGGGCAGCAGGGTGAGAGGGGAAGCGACAGGGTGCCGTCCAGCATTGGCTTGTGGGAAGCTGCACAACTGGCACATCCGAAGGCTCTGCTGAGTCGGGCCAGTCGGCACTGTAACCCTCACAGTAGCCCAGCTCGTCCACCAAACAGACCGATGTGTGAACTCCTCCGGCTCTTTCCTGGCTCCAGTGTGTGCTCAGGTGAAGCTCTCGGATTCTGGGGCTCTCAACATGCATTCTGTCTGTCTGTTTCAGCAGGGAATGTCTGTTCACAGGCTTAGGGTTCTGTTGTGTTTCTCTCCTTTGAAAACAGCTGAAGGAAAACATAGAACAGCTTTTCACAAAGTTTGTGGAGGAAGGAAAAGCCACGGTCCGCCTGAGAGAACCAGCGGTAGACGTCTGCATCAGCAAGGTACGGGATCATGCCTGGTGTCACAGCCGGTTTTCTAAGGGTGCTTTGTGCTCGCCCTGGAGATCATGGACGGTCAGTGGCTGATGTCTCTGCAGCCCCGTGGACCACAGAGGAGGAGATGCCCAAATCTGTCCAGCTGGGGGCGATTCAGGAGATTTGGAGGCAGCAAGAAACAGAGTCCGTTGGCTTATTCTCTGGCTTTTCTAAATCAAGAAAGAGCAGTTAGTAATTCTATGATGTCTTGGCTGGAAAAAACACATGAATTGATAAAGGAAGCCCATGGTGTGTCCCATCTGTACAGTGCACCTTTAACCTGTGATCAGATTGGTGACTGTATTCTGCAAAGACCTTTCGGTGATGCTGGCACTGGCTGCTGTTCCTCTTTGGGATGTTCTAGATGTTTATAATTGTGTGTGTGTGTGTGTTTGTTAGATTTGTTTGAAGGCCGCCCATTAGCATCACGCGCTCTGGGTAGCCATTACAACAAAATTACCAATAAGTAACATAACTAAAATAGTACAATTAAAATCATAAGAAATAAAAAAGGCAAAATAACTTATCAACAGTCAAGTAATAGATTAAAGTTAAGTTCATATATTAAAACCAGTGCGAATTAATATAAAGATAAGCTAAGTGGTGCCTTAAGTGCACCAGAACAGAAAAGTTTTTGTCAGGCACCTAAAGTGCAGCAAAGTAGGTACTTGATGAATCTCTGATAGTAAAGTGTTTCAGACTTGAGGTGCCACCTCCGAGAAGGCCCCCTTCCTTGCAACCTCCCATTAACCTCCCTGGGGAGAGGAAATCATAGGAGGGCCTCCGTTGATGACCTAAAAGTTCATGTTTTAATATATTTTAAAGGCTTTTTAATGTTAAGCTTTGTACTTCAGAACAATGAGTAAAATCCATTTGCGTTATATTACCATTCACAAAAGTTGCACATTTTATATTCCGTTTTTTAACAAAATAGTGGGGTTTTACCCCAGTATATTTTCTAGCAGCACCTGTTGTAAGTTTTCTGTGGCTCTCAAAAGAATCTGTTCTGTTCTGACTGGCGCTGTTTAATACTAGGATTGCCTTAACCCAGACTAACTCTACACTCCTGTGTTACGTAACATTTGTCAGTTATGATGGAGAGAGTGGTAGGGAAAGCTCCTGTGTCTCCGCCTCCCGCTTCGCCAAGGCGGGCCGTCTCCTGAGGCTCCTGCACAGGTCTGCATCATGACCCAGAAAGAATGAGCGTGCCGGCCCCAAAGGGGAGCCCACTGGTGCTGATGGTTTTGTGCGCTCTTTTGGCTGCAGGCAAATGTCCGTCAGCTGAAGGCCTTCCTCTCCGCAGCGAAGCTGGCTCACCAAGGCGCCAGTGAGGAAACGTTGCCACTCTCCACCTTGGTCACACCAAAAGCTTCCGAAGTTGAGAAACCAAAAACTAGGATGCTCATAACATCCAGGCGGGATTACCCGTTGGCCCGGGACTTTCCGTACTCGCTGGAGCATCTGCAGGCCTCCTACTGCAAGTTAGCCCACGTCGACATGCGCATGCTTTGCCTGAAAAAGCTCCGGAAGCTGGACTTGAGCCACAACCGCATCAAGAAGCTGCCAGCGACCATTGGGGACCTCGTGTGCCTTCAGGAACTCAACCTGCAGGACAACCAGTTGGAGTCGTTCGGTGTGGCTTTGTGTAACTCCACGCTCCAGAAGTCGCTCCAGTCTCTAGATCTCAGCCAGAATAAAATCCAGGCACTTCCAGCTCAGTTTTGCCGCTTACGGGAGCTCGTTCACTTGAAGTTAGATGACAACAGCCTAATTAGGCTGCCATTCCAGATTGGACAACTGAGGCAGCTCCGCTTCTTGTCTGTGGCTCGGAATAAGCTCCCATTTTTGCCCAGCAGCTTTGCAAAGCTCTCCCTAGAGAACCTAGACTTGTTCGGCAATCCTTTCACGCATCCCAGGCCGCTCATTCCCGACATACAGCTAAACGTGCCCTTGACCTTGTTAGAATGCGCTGCAAGAGCGACAATCAATTACAGGTAAAAATGGCGAGCATGGTTGCAAACCTCAGGAGTGGGGCATCCCCGGATCCCCATAACTCCCCGTTTTAAACTGGCAAGGTTATTATTAATTGTGAGGTGGAAAAGTTACAGGAGGGAAGCAGGTAAACTCCGTGCGTTTAGAAGACGTTCGGGGAGCGTCTTGGGGCTTGCTGTTCTCGCCCAGCAAGCTGCCTTGCACAAGCACTCCCGTGGCCACAGTTGTGTGGTAGGGGCACGTTTTCCATGCGGGAGGGCCCAGCTTCCCCTCAGGCATCATGGCTGGGGAAAAGCCCCGCATGCAAGCCTTGAAGAACGCTGCCCGTCGCCCGGCTGCTCAGCTAGGGGGACCAAACGCCTGAAGTTCTCACCGCCTGAAGTCCGGCTCACCAGCAAGAGTGACTGTTGCCAGCAGTTAGTGGTTGGGCCTCAGTCACTCCAGTCATAAGACTCTGGAGACGCCGAGCGAGGGAGCCAAGCCGTAACCCGTAGCAAAAGCACCGCTGGCGTGCAGAAGTCACCTTGGTTCCAGACGTCCCTCAGCTGGCTCTTCCTGTCCTCATGCGAAGGGCTTGCTGAAGGTTATTCCAGATTTCCGTGAGAAACATTATGGTGTGCGAGGTGTTTGTGCCCAAGGTGGCTGTTGCTCAGGACAGTTTATCCCCACGTAGCAGGTGGGGCTGCGAGTGGCGGCTGAGTGCCAAGGCCAGAGGCTTGCCGGAGGCCGCTTCAGAATCCTTGGCATTTGAATCGGGGCCCGCCTGCTTCTTCACTGCCCCGGCCCTCTCGGGATGCGGGCGATTCACCCAGCCTTCTCTGATGCAGCGGGCCTGCCTGTCGTGTGACGCCAGGACCTGTTCCTGGCACATAGCGCTCTGTCTGTCCGCCACTTATCAGCAGCTCAGATTATGAGTTACTTTGAAGCCAAGGTACTTGCTTTGTAGAGAGGACGAGGTTTGGTGGGGAGAAGGGGATGCAAAGTCATTTATGTCAAGCTTTGCAAATCCACGGGTGTTTTGTAGTGACAACTAAACTTTTTTTATTCGTTCTTGCCCCTTTTCCACCGCCACCCTCATTCTCTGACTTGTTTTTCCTTAGCTGAATCTGTGACTTCATAAGAAGGCACTGAATGACTAATAATGTGGCTGTTACAGTTTTTATGCCTTTTGAAAGATCTGTATTTCAGTCTTTACCCCGTGGAGAAGCTTCTAGTCCAGCCATGAAAGGGTCTTGAATGCCACTTAGATCAGTTTGGCTTGAAAGTGTATTTGGAGGGCAGCGATCCCAGCCGTGCGCATATCAAACACGGAGAGCCCCTCCCTTCCAGTGAAATGTTCAGGGCTGGCCGTCTGACACAGCATTTCGGGGGACTGAATCAGCTCAGCGGGAACAGCACGTTCGCTCACGAGCTTTGTTCTCTGCCGCAGGCTTCCCTATGGCTGCCACATCCTCCCTTCGCACCTCTGCGACGACCTGGACATGGCAAAGAGCTGCCAGTGCGGGCAGGCCTGCTTGAGCTGCTTCATTCAGACGACGGAGACGATGAACCTGCACAGCGTGGCGCACACGGTCGTCCTCGTGGACAATATGGGCAGCACCGAGGCCCCCGTTCTCCGCTACTTCTGCTCTCTGACTTGCTACTCCCAGTTTCTAGACAGACATCTGCAGAGCACCCGGTGACCTTAAGCCAACACCACGTACGGGCTGAGAAGTCTCACTCCGTGGTGGGACAGACACTTGCTGAGCACAGTTGTGTGGTGTTGAGGGCAAGGACGCCATGTCAGAGACACCAGGGTTCAGCCAACAGACCTGCACATGGTTCACCTTTCTGTTTTCATCACCCGGAAAGAGGAATGAATGCCAGGCTTGGCATTTCCATCGACCGCAGCTTGGTTTGGTAGAGGCTGCATGTTTGTTTAAGCTCTGCTGTTTGCACAGATCAGGGGAGCTGTTTGTCTCTGAGTTATGGAAGAAGTTGGGTGTGGTTCCTGAGGCCAAGTGTGTGCGGCTTCACCTTCAGAGCTGCTTAACACTGTGAACGCGATCAGCGTTTTAAAGCAAGAACCTTTCTCATTTCATGCAAGGAATCTTCCTCCTGAAAATATATGTATTTAAGACACAATCGTATGCATGCTTAGTCCGGAAAAAGGGGCCTGCCACTCCCTGGACCGTGTCAGGAGTTGCAGGTCTTTGCTTTTCCTCTAAATGTGCATTGGCTTGCACCCTTGGTTATACTTTTCTGGGTACAGAGCCCTGCTGTTGAAAATACGTTTAAAACAGGAAGTTTGTCCTTTCTGAATATTAGATTGTGCAGAACATGTCCTGCAGCTCTCCGGGTTTGTTCAGCACTGTTGGAACTATTTGCTGAACATGGTGCTCCGATGAACACACAGTATTATGACTGTTTTACAAATTGGTGTACATGTGTGATTTTTATACCTTTGTCGAAAGAAAATTTATTATGTACACGACTAATCATGTCTGCTGTTCTTGACGCAAAACTATAATCTGTGAGAACAGCGACTGTAAAAGCCACTTGGTTTGTTAATCTGTTTATCAGGAACCGTTTTCCTTGGTTCGAAATACATTTGTGTAGTGTGTGTGGATGGCACTACAATGCAGAAATGGTAGCTTTTGCCAGTAAGGTATTTCATGCAGGGGAGGGAAGAGATCAGGGCCCTGCTAAGGAAGATTTTCCCAGTAAAACTGTACGAAGAAGCTGGTTTCCAATTTCACTGTGCATTACTTGAAGCAGCTCTGTATTACTACCTGGTGAAACCCTCTTATTTTACATGAAAAAATAAAGATTTTGAAATGGCTTACACTCGCACTGCAGTTATTCTTGCATGGATCGCAAGCGCTTTTTGGCTCTGTAGTAACAGGCACCGAGGGTGAATCCATTCCCGTGCCTCATCTCTCCAGACCTGAGAAGAGTATGTCCTTCGCAGCACCCACTGTGGGCCATGGGGCTATGCAGGCATCAGCAGAGTGGAGTGGGGAAGACCCCGAAGCGAGGAACGGGGTTCTTCAACACAGTAAAGCATGCCCTGAACCCAGAAAAGTGTTCCAGACCACAGCTGGGCCCAGCTTGCAGTCTTTCCACAGAGTTGACCCCTCCTGGCTATTCCAAGCCATCTTCATTCCACCAGCCTGAGGTGGAAACATTTTGCCACTGCTCCTGGATGACAATTTAAGAGTCAAACACTTGCTGGTCACCAGAGATCCACCTTCTGCCCCATCGTAAAGTATAATTCAAAGAGCCCTTGCAATGCTGTAATGCTCTGGTGGTGTGAACATGCATGTGCAGAAAAACGGAGCTCTGCCACCCATGTAGGTGATGTTGATGTGCTGAAGGGGGAGCAGGGACACCGACGGAAGACATGTTATGTGGAGTTAGATACTGAGCAAAGCTTCCAGAGAGCAGCAGACTCCAGAAGACTTCCGCTTTGCTGGAGGTGAGCAGCTAGGAAGGGGCACAGGCACAAAATGGGGCCCCCCATCCACACCATGTTCAGCAAGGGCTGAGGGCACATCAGGTGCTTCAGCAAGGTTTCCTGAGCTCATGCTTTGGGTGCCTGGTGCCAGAAGTGCTGGACTGGGACTCCAGAGCCTGGGTTCTGGACCCCACCTGGCCATGAAACTCCCTGGGCCAGTCATGGGTTCTCAGCCTAGCCTCAGCGTACCTGTCAGGGCTTGCGGGCGAGTTGCGAAAGTATTTTTTATACGTCTGCAAAACTTTACCGTGTCCACGAAGACATAAATGTTTACAGATTACCTTACAGACGGATGAAAAGTTTTTAAAACAAGATGCAAACGGACAAATTCACATCTGAACGTTAATATACAAAACAGTGTAGACACTTGGGGTGAGGGCCACGGAGATGCACCGACCCTACCTCACCACCCTTCCCCACAATTCATGTGCCCCTTGCCGGACGTGCATTTCCAGCCCCTGATCTGCAGGACGGGCTTTTCGCGTGTGAAGGATAAACCGGGGACCGCGGTTCGGGGCGCGCGGCTGCCCTCCACGTCCGACGTCCACACGTGTGCAGCGGAGGCGCCAGACGGGACACGCCGCCGCGTCCAAGGCGCATGTGTGGCCGGTGCTCACGGAAGCTGCGGCCAGGAGCCGCGGAGAAAGGTGCCGCTCGAGTTCCTCAGCTCAGCCTGCGGGCCGGAGGATGCTGGGAGTTGTAGTCCCGCACATCTGGCGGGCGACACGTTGGGGCGGGCCCGGCGCGGCGCCCCGCGCCTGCTGGTTCCACGAGGGCCGCCGGGCGTCTGCGGGCCGGGGCCGGGGCCGGGGCCGGGCGGGAGGCCGGGGCCGCGCGCCCCCTCCACGCGCGGGCGGACCACCCGACCCGCCGGATCCGGAAGCGCCCCCGCGCGGGGGG